GAACATACAAATGTTCAACAACTCTAATCAACAAAGAAATGAAAATGAAAACCAGAGTGAAGTATCACCTAACCCTTCAGAATGGCTATCATCAATAAAATCAAGAAACAACAATCCTTGGTGAGGATGAGAAGAAAAGGGAACCCTGGTGCACCGTTGGTGAGAATGCAGACTGTTTCAGCTACTCTCTGAAAATCGTAAGGAGGTTCCTCAAAAAATTAAATCTAGAACTGCCTTATGACTCAGAGATTCTACACCTGGGTATGTATCTGAAGAAATCCGAAACATTAATTCAAAAGGATATATGCACCCCTATGTTTACTGCAGCTTTATTTGCAATACCCAAGTATGGAAGCAATGCACGTGCCCATCACTAGAGTAGTGGCTAAAAATGTGGTGAAACATATGTACAATGGAATACTGCTCAGCCATAAAAAAGAATGGAATCTTACCCTTTGTGACAGCAATGATGGGCCTAGCAGGTATTATGCTAAGTGAAATAAGTCGGTCAAAAAAAAAAAGAAAAATACCATATGATTTTTTTAATATGTGGAATCTAAAGAACAATATGAACAAACAAACAAAACAGGCTTGTAGATAAAGAAATCAGGGCGATAGTTGCCAGAGTAGCGGAGGTTAAGGGACAGGGTGAAAAAAGTGAAGGGATTAAGAAGTACAAATTGGTAGTTACACAATAGTCACTGGGATGTAACATACAGCATAAGGAATATAGTCAATAATATTGTAATAACTATGTCCAGTGCCGGGTGGGTACTGGAAGTAACAAGGGGGACCACTTTATAAAATATATGATTGTTTAACCACAATGCTGTATACCTGAAACTAATACAAAATAATAATCAATGCAAACTGTAACTGAAAAAAAGAGAGAGAGAGAAAGAAAGAAAAGAACCTTATGCTTCCATTATCAAAGGCACAGATCCTTATTTCAAGAATTTCAAATATTATAGCAGACAAGCAATGGTGAATATTTTTCATGAAATTGAGCTTTCCGACCGCATCTGATCAATGTTTTCTGGAAGCTGATTGTCAGTTTCAAATGAAGTAAAACTTACTAATTTATAATCATAAGTACAGCACCTGCTGTTCAAATGAGTGGGTTTATGGCCAGAAGGCCTTCCACATATTTGGTAATATCCTATCCCATCCCACTGTTAACAACTTAACTTATTTTCCAAACCCTTTTCAACCTGTGTATCTTCAAATTGGAAGTTTCCCTAGTCATTCTGGAATTTAGGTTGTTCAAAATGTGCTTACTAAGTGCTAAGCACAATCCAGCTATGGGACGGTAGAACTCCCAAATTCAAACTCTACTCAGTTACATGTTATGCATCAGTAGGTTCTTATATTGAATTACTTCTAGAAACCTATAGGAAGAAGAGAATTTAGATAATAGAAACTAAAGATTTCACTTAAGAACATGCATTTTTAACTTCAAAAATAGAAGAGAGTCACAATGCATTTTTTTCTCAATAATGTTGAGGTTTAAACTAAATGAATTCTCTGTTGTCATTTTAAAAACAAACATGTTTTCAGAGATTTGAGTAGATATTTTAATATTATGTTATGTTGATGATCTTGCACATAAACATTTAAAATAGAAACAAATAAAGCACCCAAAAGAATAAAGGAAACCCATACTTCATTGATTTGAATACGTTTTAAATTATAGGGTAAAATCACCAACTCCTGACCCCTAGCCAAAATGATTAAGTAGATCCAGATGTCACAGATATAAAGCCAAATGTTTACATCACATTTTAAAAACAATCATTATTTAATCCTGCAAAGGTATGGAGTGATATGTCAGACAGTTTAATGTATTAAGAGGAAGGAGGGAGAAAGAGAGAGAGGGAAAGATGCTAGTTTTATGTAGAAAGGCAGAGAAACAAATGCCCAAGAGCTGAATTTATGTTGACTCTCCCCAAAATCTTAATGTTTGCAACTCATTGAGGCAGATTTTCTTAGTATCTACCCTTTACCCTGGCTTAAAGTTCTTAGAGGACAGTCTATAATTCTTATGTGGCAAAAGAATAATTTTTTTAAAAAAATATATATCACCAATACTAAGTTGAGTTAATACAATCTCTGACCTAATTCCAAACTCATTCCCTAGCAAGACCCTCTTTATAACATGTAGGTTTCCCTGCCCCAATCATTTGGCTTTTTCTCCAATATGGGTACCATCTGTCTGCAACATCTGTTATTCCATTGATTGCTGAAGTCAGTTTGGATGATCTGCCTGGTTTCTTTCTCTCTTGGATAGTTCTGCCTACCTGTCCCTCTTCTCACCCAAAAAGATATAGGTCTACATGGACAAAAGTTATGGAAACCACATTTCCCAAGCCTACAATTAGAATATTCATAGTCTGACAAGTATGACTGTACTTAAACATACAAAGAGCATAATATTGAGTTGTTCAAAATATCTAGAATAGGTAGTGTCAGCCTAAAGAAGGCCAGCCAGTAGACATTAAGCACTAATGTTTTCCTACCACTTTCAAGTCCAGATTATTCTAGCATCAAGTATTTATTATATTTGAATGGGCAAATGAAGACATTTGTAATTCATAAGACTTTTTTAACTGTTATTTTCTTTAAAACTCAAACTGTTGCAGCATTTATGTTTTTAAAAATCTCTTTCTATAAGCACGCAGATTGGCCTTCTCACTTGGAGTCACCATTTTCAGTGGCTGGAAGTCATGGAGAATCCCCTGAGTTAGAGGGAGAATGGGCCACAATGTTGCAACACTCATCCTTTGGTTTGGGGCTGCTCATGGAAACCCCATTCAAATGGAATGAGATACTCTGCTGCTTCCTTTCCAGTAAGAACCTGCCTTGTAGCCCATCCTCCTTTGCTATTGACTAGCCAGGCTGCTGGATCTCCTCAAGAGACAACAGGAAGAGGAGGAAGTGTGGACAGTGCCATGTCCTGTAATCAGTAGTCCTCTGGCCTGACCTATGGGCATGTGATCCCACAGCCAAGAATCCCAAGGCCACAGTGCTCAGTCCATCTCTAAAACATGCAGGGGCGGGGGAGAGGGAGATGCTGCGCCACTACCAAAGCTAGCCCCCTACTACAGGAGCAGGACCAAAACAATTTGCCAAGGCTAAAGATTGCAGATAAGTGTGGCTCCAGAGATCCTGAAGGCTGAGTCTGTTTTGCTTCTACAAGGGAGCAATTATCCATTAACAAGATAGCTAGGCAGCATTTCTGGAAGAAATGTCTTTCCAGGAAAGTAGACTGTTTCTAGAATAGGTTGCTTTAGTATGCATTCCCCTTTTTATAACTCTTGGTAACTTTTAAGTATACAGCAGTCACACCTTAATATTTATTTCATTAACTGACATTATTGAAGCAGGGGTTATGTGAAATCGAATTAGAATTTGGTATCTGAGAAAACCTCACATGAGAGTTGAGTACGTTTCTTCCTGAAGTTTTTGAAATTGCTCCTCCCCCCTCTATCTACCTACAGATTGAAACACCATGGCTCAAGGACCAAGCATCTGAACTTGAGATGTGCAGAAAATAAATGTGACTCCTCGCTGTCCCTTCTCAAAGCAAGGGCAGTAATCACCTCCAGGACCCAACTGCTCTTCCCAGAGCTGGCTTCCTGAGTGCACAGTTAGCTATAAACCTTCCCACCTGTGGGGCCGTGGGAAAAGGAAATAGCAAGAAGATGGAGGCTGTTACTTTGCTCCTTGGGGAGTGAAGTATGAGCTCTATGGGACAAGGAAGATCAGCCTCAGAGCTTAATTCCCACACCCAAGAAAACAAATACTTCCCTGGGTCTTTAGAGGCAAAGGCCTCTGTTAGTTTAATACAATAAGGCCTGCAAGTCTTCGGCTTGTAAAATAGTATTTGAATCCAAATCACTGGTGATTGGCAAAGCCAAATCTAAACACACTTTTCATCATTACATGTGAACTACAATCTATAGCCAAGCTGAGGGATATCTTTTACTTTATTGGAAATAAAGGGGTTCTGAAGCTGTTTTGGAAATATACATCTCTTAGCATCCAAAATTATCAAATAGAAAATGTATTTGTGACTTTAAGCAGATGGAGACACCCCCAGCCCACCCACCTACTGATGTTGCTTCATTGGGAAGACATGCAATGTGGTAGTAGTTCCAAATTGCTGCCCTCAGTTGAAAGAGTCTCAAAGCTGAGCATACAAGTGCAAAATGAAACATCTTTGCAAGCTATTGTCTGTTCAGTGTTCCCATTTGGGGTAAGTGGAAAATGAAGACTCAGCCCTGCATTCCTCTTCCTCCTCCATGTGTCTGCCTCTTTATTGGCTGATGGGACGTGTCACCATGGCACCTAGGCACTCAGCAGCATGGAGTAGGTGAGCATGCTTACAAGGACACAGAAAGCCAGACTGTGCCAAGCTTCTTCTCTGATCTGATGTGAAAGAATGGTTCCATTCTCTGTAACTGACAAACAACAGAAATAATGTGCAGGTAAACAAGAGATGGGCAGCAAGCCTTTTTGTTCAGGGAAAATCATCTAAGACTAGGCATCAGACACATAGGGCCCCTCCAACATTGTGCATCCTTCTGACATAACAAATTCAAATGTGTTTTTCTTTTTCCTTAAACTTTTCATTTTGAGATAATTGTTGATCCACTTGCAGTTGTAAGAAATAATTCAAAAAGATCCCTGTACCACTCACCTAGTCTTCCCTAATCAGGTAGGTAACATCTTGGAGGACAATAGGAAAAATCAACAAGGATATTGACATAATCCATCAACAAGGACATTAATATAATCCACCATTGTGCATTATGCTCCGAAAATCAATTTAACCCTTTGAAAAAGCAGCAAATCCATAAAAATGCCTCAGGTTTGACAAACAGCCTTTAGAGGACTTTTTGTGTATTTATGAAGAGATCGGCTTGCTTGGCTGAGGGAGACATGACAGGCACTGTGAACTCTTCGAGCCGCTGGTTCTTTGAATGGATCATAGTTCTTCCTCACTGACAGCACTTACTGTGGAGGAGGAACTTCTTTGCATTTTGTTTCAGTTTAGGATTTCCTAAAATTAAGATAATAGAGTGTACGGAAGGGTATAAACCCACCACCAACATGCAGAACATGAAGATGAAGTTTCTCCTCTTGAAAATCTGAGAGAGGATTAAAGTAGCCATCATGTACTGGGAGACGTAGAGGACCAGGAAGGACAGGAAGGACCGGAGAGCGCTGATGTGGACACTCGCGCTGGGGGGCCTGGCCCCCGCTGCTGTGCTTATCATCTGCTGGGTGTGTCTCCCCAGGGAAAATATCAGGAGAAGAGCAGAGATAAGGAAGATAACTAAGGGCAACGAGAGCTCAATGACCAAAAATGCAAACTGTAACGCAGGTACATCTTTGGTTTGAGTTGTTGCATTCTGAAAAACGATCCTCGACCAGGTTTTTTGGGAGAGAATCCATGCATAGTTGCTGTGTAAAACAGAAGTGAGCAATGCATATAGCACGGTCCCCAAAATCAGCCATGGCACCAACTTGGAGATCCTCAACTTCAACCAAAAGAAGAGTGGGTGAGCGATGGTGGAGATCTTGGTGCAGTAGAAAACGCTGAGCCATGTGGCAAGCCAAAGTTCCAATTTGTATATAAACATGAAAGTTACAAAATACCAAAAAGGAGGAGGGAATTCAATCAAGGAAAGAATAGCCAGATTGAGGTGGAACATGACTAGCTGGAGACAAATCCTGCAAGTCGCTAGGCAGCAAAGAAGGAGGTCGAAGGGCAGCATCTTTCTCTGCTTGATCAAGTCTGTGCTGTTTACAACCACGATGATGCCATTTGCTAAAACCCCCATGAAACACTGAATTGCTGCAAAAGTAAGATGGGTAATATCAAGAGATTCCAGCATTTTGACAAAAAAAAAAATCAGGTATTTTAAAAACTGATGTAGGTATGTATTTTTGGACAATTTGAATTATTCAAGTTTTCTGCTTTTCTTCAACCTGATTAGAACCCCTTAGGGGGACACAGCTCTAATAAGAAAGGCAGTGAGGCAGGAAGGTAGCGTACATGTGTTTATAGTAGTTTCTCAACTTAGTTCTGAGGCAGTCAAATGAGAAAGAGATACTCTAGTAACAATTTGCTTCTTCCTGATGGCTTTTGCATTTTCCAGGTCTACTTAGCTTCCAGCATGATCACCACAAGCAAATGTTGGAAATGAAACACCTACAGGGCTGGGAGCAGGGCTCCTCTAATACATAATCCGTGGACATTTCCCAGTTCCTCATCAGTACCATGAATATTTGTGTCCATGGGTGCGATTCCACTTAATGTTTGTGAAGCATTCTTTAAGAACTTTTTTTAAATTGTCACCTCTGCTATCATGATGCAGTACACCCAGCAATGTTAGGCTCCTAAGTAGTCGCTCTCCACCATGCAATGTGTGAGCAATTCAGGACGAGGAAAACTTAAAACAGTAATATAAAAAATACATGTGATACACAGAAAGCATCATAAATATGTCTATTCAATAGGTCAAATGTGTAAAGGAAGGTAATTCACAGCAAAGAGAATCACACCAGCAATTATCTACAGAATATTACAGGGGTTGAAAGCTTTCCCTGATTATTTTTTAAAACCCAGGAGAATTTTATAACATGAGCTTGTCGTTCCAGGGGAAAAAGTGACGATAAAAGAGTACATGACTCAATGTGTTGTTATAACTGTGAACAGACTATTTTTGGAAAAATTAAGCTAGCATTTTTTAACATGCATGCTGTTCCAGGTCTTACGCTAAACCAGGTTTTCTCAGTGTCAACACTGTTGATATTTGGGTTGGATAATTCTTTGTCGGTGTGGGGAGGGAGCTGTGCCATGTAGGATGTTCGCCAGCATCCCTGGCATCTACCCACTAGATGCCCATAGTATGCCCCCTCCCTGGGTGTGAAAACCGAAAATGTTTCTGGACACTGACAAACATTCCCGGAGTGGCAAAATCACAATCACACCCAGTTAAGTACCTCTGTTCTAAACATTGGGGGATAGCCATTGATAGAACAGAATTTCTGTCTTCCAGGCACTCAAAGACTAAAGGCAGAACAAGCCACATGTATAGTATGACAACGAACTAAATTAGTTATTTGGACAATTCACCACCAGAGCACAAAATAGGGAAGAATGTATTAGATGTTGGGGGGACTGAAGCTTTTCTAACTTAGCACTAAATCACAGTGTTCCCAGCAGACCCCCCACTGAGGCATATGTTCTTCCGGATACATGTTGCTTTGTCCAGAGGTGTCATAAATGACACTTAAGATGAATCTTACATTTAGAAAGCTGGGAGAAAAACCAGATTAAAACACTAGTGGGGTGTTACTTTGTCATTCTTCTCTGAATATGTGATATCTGTGCAATGTAGGACTCCACTTCGTTGTTCTCGTCACAACTTCTATGTGATGCAGAGAACAAATGGTAACGTCTTCAAGGAGGCGCACAGGGAGGCAGCTCCTGAGTGGCTTCTACCAAAACAGAGCCGGACTCAAGCATGACCATCAGTATAAACCGTGTTCTTTTCCTTCAGGTGGAAAAAAATGTACTAGAAAGAACTTTCTGATTTTACCTTCTGCAGGCTAGAAAAGCAACATGAAATGGCTTCCACCTATGAAATAATGAAGCTAAGAACTCTCAAAAGAGAAGTAACTACTATTTCTTGGTTGCTCAGTCAAACCTCCAACACAGCGCCGGTCACTTTGCTCTGGCAAGTGCGGGTTGCCAGCCCGTCCCCTGCCGAGGCTCAGCCCTGTGAAGGCGCCCCTGGGCTTTTTCCTCATCCCCAGCATCCATTCATTCTTTGGTGTTTGGCTTATGGTGCTTTTGCTAGGTAAAACCAAACTCAGTTATATAAGGGTTTTCATAATGAAGGAAAAGAGAAATAAATATTACAAAGTCACTTTGAAAGACAGCTTTTGCTGTCTAACTCTCTGTTCCTACCGACATCACATGGTAAGACCAGTCTCTAGCTCTTCCCTGTTGCTCCAGTGTTGTTAAGACCTTTACATTCTGAGTCCTTCAGCATGATCTGAGCATTGCAGTATTGCAAAAAAAAAAAAAAAAAAAAGTAATGGTAAAACTAAGGCAGAAAAGTGGAAAAATTCTATTTTGATTCTAGAACACTAATATAGTCTTTCTGAACTGACAGCCAACTAGCAGAGATAATGCATAGTACACTAAAGACTTAAAAGAAATAACTATGTCCAATTCTATTTATTAACATGCTGTTTGTCTTTTGGATTCAAGCATCTTGAGGGGATATTTGATTCTCAAATATTCTATTATAACTTTTCTTAGAACTAGCTTGGGGAGTAGAGGCAATTCTTCATAGAAAACTTTATTTCACAAAGAACAGCTCTTCTGCCACAGAAATCCCATGAAGTAAAAAATAAAAATTCATGAGGCTGAAGCTACATTTTTTTTCATTAAATAATTTCCATCACCAGTCCCTTTAGTGAGCCCACACAAAGGCTGCTGGAGGCGCACCATTCCTGGACAAGTGCCAACAACTCGCTGGAGACTTGTATTTCTTACACTGAAGGGGGGCCGGATAAGAGATGTCTGTCCATAGCAGCGGAGCACTTGTGTGGCTGCTAAACTAATGTCCTATTCAGACCCCAGGGGCGGCTGCATTTCAGTGCTGATGTGGAGACCTCTGGGGTCATGTTATCCAGACTTCCCCTTAGATTCTGCCACATCAATCAAAATAACCACGAGCCTCTGTCATGTTGTGCTGAGCGAGAGTGAGCTAAATATTTTAATGAGCAATGCAACAAATCAGAGAAAAACGCTCCTAAATATAGAAGCCCTTTGCATCTCTGAAGCAGTTGGTTTTAGTGAGAAGGACACATCAGAGAATTTCTGGCTCTGAGATGAAAAATCTATATGTCTGGCCTCACCTGTCAGTCATAGGCTCGGACTGGTGACAGTTTTACATGGACAAATGGCTTGGAACAGATGGAACAAGTCCCGATGTGGAGAAATTCACATGATGATTACCCCATATTACCCTGATTAAATCCGCTCACTCACACTCATCTGTAATGAGCAGTCATTAAAAGAGACAATACTAAATATTCTTGAGGTGACTGACAGGCGGAAAGAGTTGCTAATTTATATTCAGATCATTCAGCTCCTCAAAAGAAAGTGCAATTTTTTTCACAGGCAGTTAGACTGACATTGGCGAGCTTTTCACCAGGTAGAACGGCTGTAATAATCATCTGTCTGTTTTCCAGTGGCACACGGACGTTTGCTTTGGGATTAGAGTCATCTTGAAAGTGAGCAATAGTTTTAATACCTTTCCCAAGTGAGTCTTCCCATTTCATTATCAAGGGAATGATTCCTGCTTTAAGGAACATACCTGTGTATTAACATTATTGTATATTTAATAAGATCATTCAAATGAGGAAGAAATAGACCCTGGACTAACCAATGCAGACATCCTTGCTGCATCTTCCCTGGAGCATAGCTCAGCCCTTGTTAAAGCCTACATGGAATTTATTTCAGCTAAAATTCACAACATTTTGGTTAAAAAGCTCCGGACTCTTTGAGACTAATCATTCTCCACATCCATTCATTTGCTTCTCTCCACTTGAATACGCAGTTGATCTTTTGGACTGAAATTTTTGCCTTTAATATTCAGGTCACTCTCCTATACTTGTCCCTTCTATTTCTCTTTTTTATCTTAGTCATATATTTCTGTGCTTTTCTTTACTCTTCACAACATTCTGAAATGTATTCTCATGGCAGCAAATAGAATAATGGTGCATGAATTTAAATCTTTCACGTGAAGAGCTTGAAATGCTTTTCAAATAAGAATCCCGTGTTGGTTACAACAAGGTGGGGGAACCAGGGATGGTGCACTTGGCTTACATGAACAACCTCTAGTCCTTGTGATTTTGTCTTCAGCTCTAAACTGATCGGTGGGATTTCAGATCATTCCTTGTCCCCCCGCCCTCCCTCCCAGATTCTTCCTTCTCTCCTTTCATTTCTTCCTCCTCTTCTCCATCCTTTTATTCTCCCTTCCTCTTTCCCTCTATACTTTAACACATATTTATTGTGTGTTTTACAGACTATGGGCTAGGCACTATTCTAAACATGAAGCATATAGTAATGAATAAGACAAAGTCTCTGTCATCTTGAAAATTACATTTTATTGAGAAAGATGAGAGTTAAACAAATAAAGAAATAAATACCTCCAGGTAATGTAGAACAAGATGCTATTTTAGAGTGTGGTTGGGGAGACAGAGTCTTTGAAGAGGAGGTGATTATTGAAAAGAGAACTGGATGAAAACGAATCATCTCTGGAGATCTAGGGGATGAGCATTCCAAGTGGTAAGGGAAGGACATAGCAATGGCCCTTTGAGTAAAAAATAATTTTTAAAGAAAGAGCTTGAGAGCTTGAAGTGTTTCAGGAAAATAAAAGGGGCAAATATTGCAATGCCGGGGAGCAGCATTAGCAAGGGGGAGAACCCGAGGGGAAGAGAATAGAGAAGCATGGCCACATTGATGGTGGAGGATTTACTCTGGAAAACAGACTGGGGGTCAGGAAAGGGCAGGAATGGAAGCAGAAGAACCGATCTGAAGGCTGCACAGTAGACTAGGCAGAGGGTGTTGGCTTAAGTGAAGTTGGTGGTAGAGGGTGGGAAGAAGTGTCTGGATTTGGAATATATTTTGAAAGTAGAACCCACAAGGATTTCAGATGAGTTGATAGGAGGAGTGAGGGGAAGAGATAACCAAGAATTACTCTTGGGTCATTAGTCTTAACCGCTGTGAGTTGATGCCATTTTTTCAAGAAAGGGAAAACTGGAGGGAGATTCAAATCCAGAGCCCTGCTGTGGACATGTTCAGTCTGAGATG